TTCCGATACAACCTATAAGAACAAAATAAATGAGGCCAATGAGCAGCAGAAGAAGTGCTCGTAAAAAGGAACACCACTCGATATGAAACAATGACGTTTACGAGGAACAATTTTAATTTGAAAATTGCTATGGCTTATCCGTCAGCCAATTCGAAAAGAAAAACGGCAAAGCTTTTTCGGCAACCTAAGAGTGGAATGTTTAGAAGAGGTCATGGGTAAGTATAGGGTATATCATTGATTGATTCCTCCCAGCAATGAATAAAAGCTTAGGCTAGGTTGTGTTTGGGCAATTTTTTCGGCGGACCGGCCATTTCGCAGACCTAAAATTTGAAAACCGTGGAACAGTGGTGGAAGTGAAACATACACTCTTGTAGAGTAGACAATTCTCTTTCGAATGGTTTATGACATGGTGTAAAAGCTTAAGGATATAGTAGAAAACTTTTGGTTTGAGAAAAATGCTGACACTATATGAGACACAGTTAATTACGGTGCAAATGCTTTGTCTTGAGATAAGGCAGGGATAGCCGAGTGGTTAAGAGGTTAGACTCATGTCTGCACCTCTGAAAAACCGCGAGTTCGATCCCTGCCGGGCTAACCATGCCTTGCAAAAATTGCAAAAATGGTTCTAGTACCAGCGTCAGGCCCAGGTTGACAGGCCGGCTGATGAACACCCCAGTCACACCAACTATGTCTAAAAGTCGCAAAAGAATCAGTGTTATAAAGCTAGGACGTCACCCGGAAGTGGCGCGCAGAACCCCCGCCCGAGTTCTGTGGTCAGTATGCGAGGGCTACCGAGGAGTGAACGGCCTCGGCCAAAGAAGCTAGTTCGAATTGGGACTCTGAACGTGGGATCGCTAACTGGGAAGTCCCGAGAGGTTGCTGACTGATGACGCGCAGGAATATCCAAGTCCTATGCCTTCAGGAGACGCGATGGAAAGGTGCTAAGGCCAGGGAAATCGGGGAAGGTGTCAAACTCTACTACAATGGGGAAGACACCAAGCGGAACGGTGTGGCCATAGCGGTAGCGGAGTCGCTCAAGGACTATGTCTCCGCTGTGAACAGGATCAGCGATCGGATCATGGCTGTGAGGATAGACACGAAGGAGGGGTACTGGACCATACTCTCCGTGTACGCACCGCAAGCCGGATGCCCCGAAAGTGATAAGGACGAGTTCTATCTGAGCCTGGACGAAGCCATAAGATCGGTTCCGTCGCGATAAAATGATATACGACTCCTGACCATAGGCACGGTGACCTGAATGCTCACGTTCACGCGGAGGAGTTTGTGGACAGAAGAGGTCTTGCGAAGGGTGCACGGAGGCACGGTAGAGAGGAATAGGAGTGAGGAACGCCGAGGGAGAGAGGGTCCTGGACCTGGCTACGGCCCACGATCTGGCAATCTGCAGCACGTTCTTCGCGAAAAGGGAGACTCATAAGGTCACCTACAGCAGTGGAGGACGACAAACGGAAATCGACCATGTGCTGGTAAAAAGATCATCCCTCAGAACTGTGAAGGACGTCAAGGTACTCCCTGGCGAGGAGCTGGCTTCCCAGCACAAGCCACTCCTGGCAGACATAGCCATGGAGCTCCCCAAGAAGACAAAGGTAAGAACCGAGAGGAGAATCCGGTGGTGGAAGTTGCACCGTGCAGAGAAGAGTGACCTCAAGCGAAGGATAATGGAAGTTGGTCTCCCAGATCCTGAGGGACCAGTGCAGCAGACTTGGGGCACTGCAGCTGAGATCATCCTACGATGCGCCAAGGAGGTACTGGGAGAGACGCGAGGTGGATTCAGAGGAGACAAGGCAGCGTGGTTCTGGAACGAGGAGGTCCAGCGAGTCGTGAAGCAGAAGAAGGAAGCATACAAGCGCTGGCAGAAGACCCGGAGCCCCGAGGACCTCGCTGCCTACAAGAGTTGCAAGAGGCTCGCTAAGGCCGCCGTAGCCAAGGCAAAGAACACGGAGATGGACGCCTTGTACGAGAAGTTGGAAAGCAGAAACGCAGAGAAGTTCGTCTTCAGACTGGCCAAAGCCCGGCATCGGGCTACTCAAGATATCAGGGTGGTGAAGAGCGTGAAGAGCAACAACGGCGCCATACTGAGGAAGCCAGCCCAAGTCAGGAGGAGGTGGGAAGAGTACTTCAGAGGAGTTCTCCACGAGAACAACTCACGGGTAGAGGCCACAGCTGGTCCCATCGCACTCTGGACAGAGGATGAGGTTCGGCGCGCACTTGGGAAGATGAAGGTTGGAAAGGCAGTTGGTCCGGATGGAGTACCCATAGAGGCTTGGAAGGCCCTGGGAGAGCACGGGGTGAAGTGGCTCACCCGCTTCCTGAATACGGTGACTGCCGAAGGAAGGATGCCGGATGCCTGGAGAACAAGCACTATCGTCCCCATCTTCAAGCAGAAGGGTGACGCGATGGACTGCTCCAACTACCGCGGCATCAAGTTGACTGCGCATACCATGAAGCTGTACGAGCGCTGGTCGACTCGAAACTGCGGGACCTTGTCCAGATCTCCCAGGAACAGTTCGGGTTCATGCCCGAAAGGTCTACAACGGATGCCATCTTCATCGCTAGGCAAGTGATGGAGAAGTATCGCGAAAAGTGCAGGCCTTGCTACCTAGCCTTCCTCGACCTGGAAAAGGCGTTCGACCGGCTACCGCGAGCAGTGCTATGGAGGTCGCTTAGGGAACGAAACGTGCCAGAACACCTCATCTCTCTGGTGAAGGACATGTACGAAGGAGCCAAGGCAGCTATACGCACCCCATACGGCCTAACGAAGGAAGTGGTCATCACGGTCGGGGTTCACCAAGGGTCAGTCGCAAGGTCAGACTCTGAGCGACCTTATCAAGACCGGAATTCCTCTCCCTCCTTACACTAGATGTCATGGTGAAGGGTCTCATGGAAGGACCACTGAAGACAATCCTATACGCTGACGACATCGCCCTGATAGCGGATAGTAGAGAGGAGCTACAGGCAAGGGTGCAGCAATGGCAGAAGGTCCTGGCAGAAGGCGGGCTACGGCTGAATGTCAAGAAGACCAAGTTCCTGAGCTCCGAAGAGGGTGCAGAGCCGATCGTGGACGGCCATGGTGAGACCATCGAAAGGGTGGAGGACTTCCGATACCTTGGGAGTGATCTGGCAGCCGACGGTAGTGTGGATCAGGCGGTGAAGGCTCGGGTCAACGCTGCATGGATGAAATGGAGGGAGTCCACTGGAATCCTCTGCGATCGAAGGTGCTCCAGAGCGCTCAAAGGAAAGGTGTACCGGACAGTGGTAAGGCCTGCGATGCTCTACGGCAGCGAGTGCTGGGCCTTGAACAAGAATCAGGAAAGGCAGCTCCACTCTGCCGAAATGCTGAGATGGGCCTGCGGCTGGACGCGGCTGGACAAGGTTAGAAACGAGGACGTCAGAGCGGTCATGCAGACTGCCCCTGTCCAGCTGAAAGGTACGAGAACAGCGTCTGCGATGGTATGGGCATGTGCTAAGGAGGCCACAGGACCATCCGATAAGAACAGCGATGGACTTCGAAGTACAAGGCAAGCGACCGCGAGGAGCCCCGAAGAAAAGGTGGAAAGACGTGATCAAGAAGGACCTAGGTGAGGTCGCGGCCACGATGGAAGATGCCCTGGACAGAGCAAAGTGGCGACGGCTGACAAAAACAGCGGACCCTGCGACTGCGCGGGACTAACGCTAGGGAGAAGAAGAAGCTTTTCTTGAGTACTTCGGACTTCCTTCAGTCCCTTGGATTTCTGTGATGTCCTTAAGATATCTGCTTATGCAATATAATCCCAACTGTCGTTTCAGGTGAACAAATACTTGCACATGTATGCGGACCATTTCGATTTGATTTGACCATCGGTTCAACACAAGTAAGTAAAGGCATGTGATGTAAGCTTTCTTAACTGAGCAGTGAATAAAGTTAACTTGGTAATATTATAAAATGATTGTTCTGATTGGTCTTTTCTATCCCTTTCGCGGGCATGCGTCTCCATGCAATTGTGGAGTTCCATGTAGAAGTTCTCACAGACCTCTGCAATACAGATCTCTGGTAAATGCAATGAGGTTTTTTTTCTTTTCTCGTTAGCACGGCTGAGTGCACCAATGTTTTCTATGCTCACAGGTACGAGTTCCGTACCAAATGGCCACTTAGACGGAAGGCTTTTTGGTCAGGGCAGAAGAACCTCGAAGGAATTTCGAACGCTAATGCGAGGCGATTGCGATAAAGACGGACGTAGCGTAGGGCGAAGGTCTGCGTCAAACCAGAGGATTTTCTGACAAGGGAGGCGAGGGCTGCAATGTGGTCCGCTGCCAACAATGAGAGATTGCGCTGGTGGAGTACGCTTTGAAAAGTTCTGCTCGCAAAAGCTATCCCACACATTGTTTAGTTAGGTAATTTGGACCAATTTGTATGCAGCAAGCGCGGGTAACGAACTGGGCGAGCAACTTCTGACTGAAGTAGAGGCAATTGGCATGTGCGCGAAAAGCGCGTGCGGCAAATACGTCCATGCGTTCACGGTCTCACTAACGTGACCGTCCTTAACGTTAACGAAGCCAGAACCAAGGGGATCGGTCTTGATGTTACGTTTTCGATGAAATTCTTCGTCGTGTCTTCTCGGCCATTTCCGCGACCATTGTGGCACTGCATTCCCACCCCGCCCCCCGCGACTTTCTAACTGAACTATTGTATGCGTGCCTGCGTTATCAGTGACTGGTTGCTTAAGCGACTGGACCTGCACAGCTTCACCACACATATCGATCTCTGTGCACACTTTGCAGGCCCCAGGTTTTGGGAAACGTGGCTGACCCGTGTTTACTTCCAGGGTTGCCGGAGATCGGCGATGGATTTCAGGGTGGGAACTCGAGCAATGGGTTAGAAGTTGAACCCATTCGAGAAGGTCATACTGTGTACAGGACATCATGCTGAACCGAAACATCCACAGCTCAGAGGTCTTCAGCAAAGATTGTTCTCAAGTGATATTAATGAAAAGTTCCACTTTCAGATATTGAGAAATTCAAAGGACGTATAATGCACGCTTACGATTACAGAGATCCTAAAGGGTTCGAGGATAAAAACGTGTTCCTGCTCGGAATTGGGAATTCGGCCCTAGATATTGCCGTGGACCTTGCAAAAGTTGCCAAATCTGTAAGTGATTGCTCAAAGTGCGGATTTAGTCAATATGGAGTGTGGAAAGTTCGCTACGTTCCCCAAATTTAGACGGGCCTCCGTGCACAAGACTTGCGGAAGGCTCGCAAGCGGCAAAGCGACTTGATCTCGCCAAGGCCGTGATTGAGACCGATGGGTACCCGACGGAGGGCCCGATCGCCCGGCGAGAGGAGGAGGACGCGCAGGAGGAACAAGTGGAACCAGTCGGCAGCGCTTCCGTGGCGGTGATATCGCGTCAAGAATTTGAAATAGAATTTGCTAATGCGACGTCCCACATCACGCAGTAGGCGCTGTGCTGACATCTGCGTCTCGCCTTCTTGGCGCGCAACGGGCCTCCTGTCAGGTACCCGAGATCGATTCTACACGCTCCATAACTCAGAGATATTCCAGGTAACGATTTCAACAAGACGTGGTACATGGATTTTTAATAAGGTGGCAGCCTGTGGAATGCCTTATGATACTCTCTACATGACAAGGTAAGCAAAATGAAGAGAGTGATTGGGAAACACTAGCGCGCTTTCCATTTTGAGGTACTATGACTGGTTCATGGACAATATTCCCTGGACGGTGGCCAACGATTTCATGGAACATATAGTGCAACAGAGAATGGACCACGAATTGTATGGACTCCGACCGAATCACAGGTGATTACTGTAACTACCATAAGACTGTCCTGGATAATATACAACAGTGCCTGACCCGGAAAGATCCCAAAAGTGCGTTTTGTTTTCGACCGGTCACACATTTCCCATGTCAAGAATCGAGGGAGTGCATCCCGTGATGCAGTTCTGGGGACCCATCCTCGGTCGGGTACTGCTGCGTTAGATCATTCTCAACTAGGAAATGTAGAAGAAAGCTAAGAAGACCATCAGAAAGCGCAAACCTTCCGCTTTCCAAAACTATCTTCCCTTTTTCAGGATCTTACGTATTAGAGAGATATTGCTCTTGAAGTGGCAAAAACTCGCATGAAAATTTCAGCGTCCTCGACGTTTACTCGACGAAATTTGAGAGACCCTATCTTTCTGCATGGAAGGCTTTCAGAGCAATTTCAATACTTCTTGGAAACGCGAAATCCAGCTCTATCTAACCCTACCTCAAACTGCTTCAAAGGTTATGAAATGGAGGAATGCAACCTTTTCATCGAGGGTGTAGATTTCGACGGTTTTTTTTTCGGGATTTCAGCAAATCTGACCCAGTGACAATCGCGCCGCAGCTGCCGTTGAATCGGCCTTTGATACACTCGGCTGTTTTGATATACTCAAGCAGGAATCAAGATTGAATCGCAACCCCGTGCCTTCAGGATTTCTGTGCATTTCTGAACGAACCTGACTTTGAGGTCACACAAAGTTAATGCCTCTTTCCTCGAGTCGATATTTCAGTAAATACACAAAAGTGTGCAGCGATGAAAGACAGTGCATAGATGACAAGATGAGGCGTCCATAACATTATTTTGCAGGATTTTTTTGATTAATTAATTGAATTAATTTGCTCTGTTTTGGGGGTCGTGCCAGGATCTCGATTTCGGGGGGGGGGTCGTACTTCTGCGACCACGTACTCGACACGATTTTCACCCTGGCGGGGCTCGCTTAGCTGATGTATGTTTTTTACTTCTCGAGATATGGTACACCCATCCCAAACTTGACCTGGACCCTGTAGGTTGTTGTTCGCTTAATACCGAATTTCGTGACAGACGGACTGACAGACAGACAGACTTAGCGCATTATATATAGTAGGGATGGCGGCGATCTGAAATTGTCTGTTTTTCTTCTTTGCCTGTAAAATTAAGGTGACCTTCAGGTTCTTCCAACAACACCCAACAGTCAACGATGTACTAGGAAATTACATTTGTTCTGGATATATAACAATTGCTGTAAGTTTTATAAATACCATAATGTTCCAATGCTTCTCCAAAATAATGATCAAGCTTCTGCATTTCAATCAAATTTGAGGTCCCTAATAACTTTTGGATCTGTTCTCTGAGCTCATTCACCTGCAAGGTGTTTCTGGTTGGATTGAATGTTGCTGGACTATTTGCGTTAGAATCGGTCAAATTCCCTCTCGCTCCCCACCTTCCCCGCTTCCCATCCCCATTCCTCCGTTCTATGGCACCCACCGGTGGGTGCCACCATAATATTTTATTCCTTGCGCATTTGAAACATTTTCAACATTACAGTACTTACAAGCAAGCTCCGCACATCAATGTTCAGCACGGTTCACAGAATTGTTCAAATGGAGCTAATTTATATGAAGTTTTAGAATACGGCATCTGGCTGCATATTAATTGGGCTTTCCGCATTATTAGGCTGAAGATTAGTTACTGATCAGAAAATTCCTCATCTTTTCATCGTATTCAGAAACATGAGGAGATTCCATTCAACTGCTCCTTCAACCCTTTGAAATCGAAGATGCCATTTCGAACCTCTGATTCTCTTCCCAACAATATCCAGGATGGAAGTATAAGACAGAAATTAAACCTAAATCTGGTACTTCGCTAAAGTCAAAGATTAGATAGAAAAACAGCTTTTAGGAACAATTTTGCCCAATCTTCAGCAAGAGGTGGGCACGCTACAAAAAGGCATGATGGTTTGATTTGATTTGATTTATTACACGATTGGCTCGTGTGGACTTGCAACAGTATACAAACCAAAAAGAAAAATATATGGAAACCATCCGAAGAACTAACTAAGTGATATAAGGCGAAAAAAAAGAAAAAAAAAAATTAAAAATATGAACGTAATAACAAGGAATAAGCTAGAAGAGCAAAAAGGAAAGAAACAACAGAACAAGGGAGGCATAGGAACTAGAAGTAGGAAACTACGCCAAGTGTTGGGCCAATAGTCTTCTGAAGTGTGCGAGTGATTTGGGCATTTGTCCCCGCTTAATTATCCTATTGAATTCCATACCAGCACGGTGACAGAAGAATTGGCTTCTGTACCTAGAATTGGGTCTAGGGATAAAAACCTTGAAATTCCCGCCACGCGTACGACGATCTCCTGTAGTGAAGAGTTTATACTTATCAACAGAGACCACACCACTTAGAATCTTGTAAAGCATGAGTACATCATACCGTTTCCTTCTATTTTCAAGAGTTTGTAGACCAAGAATTTTATTCCTGGAAGCGCTTGGGGGTATTTTCGTATAGTCATATCCATGGATCCTAATCATCAGTTTTCTAGTAAAATCATTTTGAACCTTCTCTAGAGCCTTGATGAGGGATTTTTTGTAAGGGTAGTAAATAACTGTCCCATACTCCAACAATGGACGGATGTATGTCTTGAAGGCTCTAAGAATAACTTCTGAGTGCTTACAAGTGAAGGCTTTATAAAAATTATAGGTCTTATTAGTAGCCTTGTTGACAATCATATTTATGTGCTCATCAAAACTGAGATTACGGCAGATTATGAAACCAAGATCCATGACTTTATCTACAGTTTGCAAAATTCTACCGTCAATGTGATAAGAGGAGGAGGTCGTAGGAGAGCGCGAGAGAATCAAAACCTTTGTTTTCTCCACGGATAGGGGAAGCTCCCATTTTTTGGACCAATCATTAACAATGTCAATAGCTTTCTGAAGATTGGCGGAGTCAGTATCGGATTCAATAATCTTGTAGATTTTTAGATCATCGGCAAAAATCTTGCAATCGACTCCTAAGGACGTAATTAGAGAGCTAAGTTCGAAAATATAAATGTTAAATAGCAAAGGAGACAAGGACTCCCCCTTGCGGAACTCCACTCACAACATTTTTGCTTTCCGAGAAATAATCATTAATACGGACTTGAAACGTTCGATTGGTGAGGAACTCACTTAACCATTTGAGAAGAATACCACGGATACCAACCCTATCCAGCTTAAGGAGTAGCTTATCGTGAGGTACTTTATCAAAGGCTTTCATGAAATCGAAGTATACAACATGAACAGCTTTGTTGGCATCTAGCCCCAAAGTCCAATCATTGAGGCATTCAATCAACTGCGTAACAGTGGATTTACCCTTGACAAAGCCATGTTGATTAGGGCTAATCACATGATACTTGTCAAGATGAGCGGTAATTCTTTTCTTGATTATTTTTTCAAACACCCTAGCAATGACTGACGTGATACTTATAGGCCTGTAGCTGCTTGGTACATCATAAGGAGCTTTTTTAGGAATGGGAGTAACAAAAGAATGCTTCCAAATGATAGGGACTTCACTTCTCATCAGAGAGAGATTCATGATGTACCTTAGGGGACTTAAAATTTGCTCTGAAACTCGCTTCAAAAAATACAAAGGTATACCATCCGGAGTGAGAGAATACGAGCTAGGCCATTTCTGGATGCATTTTAAGATATCGTCCTCAAGGATCCAAAAGCATTGATCCATAGCAGGGAATAAAGGCACTGAGGAAACAAGAGATGGATCATGAACAGCATTTGAGACTGAAAACACAGACTCAAAATGATTTGCCAAAAACTCAGCTTTAGTTTGGTCCGAAAATGCAAGGTTTCCCTCACCATCCTTGAGAGTACAGATGTCATTACGATTTTTAAGCTTCACCGATAACATTTTATAGAAAGCAGACCTACTATTTGAATATATGACCTTTTTTTCAACACTCGAATTGAATTTGTTAAGCTTTTTTAGGAAGCGATTTCTTAAGCGTAGGTAACTATCCATGTCCTCAGGATCCTTAGATTCAACTGCATGCGTCCAGGCCTCTGAACATAGTTTTGAGAAATGCACAAGATATGATGGAAAAAACGGTCTCTTGCCTTGGATTTTAACAACAGGAACGTACATCTCAATTACGTGATTTCAAGAGCCCGCTACGTACGAATCCGTATTGTCGTCAAAGGGTTGATGGAGTGAGCAATAACAGGGCAGTGGGTGATGGTGCCTACTGATATGTGGATTGGTTTTCAGATCGAACCCCCACCCGCTTCAACCTTCAGATCGGTTGGGACCTGGGGGGTCATCATTGGCAAACGAGACCTACTCATCAATCAAACCCCTTGTGAGCAGCCTGGGCCTGTCCTTTCCGCACATAATTCTAGCTCCCTTGGGATTATAGAAAAACGTTAAATAAGGTCCGTCAAATATTGGAGGTCGCAGAAGGTTAACCATAATCAGCTCAAAAGCTGTCACTCAAAGGTGCGGGACGAGGTGCGCTCAGTCATCACTCAGCCACTGTTTCAATACAAAGATTTTTGGTAACATCAGAAATTTCAAAAATTTTACTGTTTTGAAAAAAAAACAGGAAAAACAAAAATTTAAGGACGATATTGACACCTTCACTGCTGATAAGGTGATAGTGAAAAACGGCAGGAGCTACGACTGTGACATTCTTATCACGTGCACTGGGTATACATTTGGATTCCCTTATCTGGACAAGAATATCATAAACATTGAGGTAAAAATTCGAATCTTATCAGTACCAAAAACTGAGGCCGTGTTCAATTCTTCCCCAGGGGGATGCGTCCCACTCCTCTGATTCAATCCTACCCCAGTTCTGGGAAAGACAAAAGAGGGTTGCGTCGACAGTTAGAGCAGCGCGACTACCCTACACTGTTGAAGCGCTCTTTTTCCCTGAGGGCTCTGTCTGGCAGATAGAAACACAGAGGTATGCGGTCCTATGACGCAACCCTTTTTTGTCTCTCCCAAATTGGAAAAGGATCGAATCAGAGGAGGGGGAGGCATTGCCATAGGGGAAGGATTGAATACGGCTCCTGGACTTCTCAAAAGGTATCAAGTAGTGAAAATAAATAATTCAGCATCACGAAGTTCCACTTTACAAATTCGTCTTCCCTCCCAACAATACAAATCTAGCCGTGATCGGGATGATCCAGCCAATTGGAAGTATTGTCCCCATTTCCGAAATGCAGGTTTGTGGCTGGGTTTATTTTTTGAAATACTATATTCATTTTTCATGCTTTTTTTAGGCTCGCTGGGTATCGCAGGTATTCCTCGGGAAGCTCAACCTCCCTTCAAAAGATAAGATGTTGGAAGACATCGCCTTGAAGAGGCAAGCAATGAAGCGACGATATTTCCAGAGCGAAAAACATACGATACAGGTTAGTTACGATCAAGGCGATCCTGACCGTGATTGGGATAGCCCAACCAACTGGAAGTATTGTGCCCAATTCCAAAATTCGAGTTTTTGGCTGGATTCATCTCCCAGAACATATTATCTCATTTATTATCGTTTTTATTGAATAGGCTCAAAGGCAAAACCCGGGATCGAAACGATGTGTAATTGCGCTTAACAGTGAAGCTTTGAGGTATAACGCGCCTGAAAGGAAAAAAGAGGAGAAGCCGTCGACAAAGGACGAGAAAAAGTCCGCTTTTTTAACTACCGACAGCACAAAGAGGACTGACTTTAGATCGGGGTCAGTGGTGGTGGCGGGCCCTACCTATTGTGACCGCATCCTTGGACTTAGCGCTTCAAACTTTTTACTGGTGGACTAACACTCGCGCAAAAGCTTCATCTCGATTGGAACCCCGTCTGCTATTTTGCATTGAGAACCTCATATGTTTGCGTCCTGGTTTCAGGTTGACTACGTAAAGTACATGGATGAGATTGCTTCAATCATTGGCTGCAAGCCTGATCTTTGGAAGGTATGCATATTTCTTTGGGTTTTTGAGCGGAACTCCAGTTCGGGGGATACTCCATTGTGCTCTCCAACACTAAGGATAAGGATGAGAAGTTTCTATAACACTAAATCGACGCCATTAAAGGCACGCTCCGCGATCAGGCGGGCTCGCCTGTTCCATCCAGGGGGTAGTAGGCAGGTGGACAAGTGTTGATGTCGGGCCCCTTTTGCGGCTTGAAAGTACGCGACAAAGGCGCAAGGAGCTCGTCCAACCCGCAACTCACACCTTCGTCCGCAAGCCCCACCCTTCGCTGTCGGTTGCCACGTGGCGCTGCTTGAAAAGCGCGGGCGCATTTGAGGCAGTGGTCCCAGCGCGATCCAATGTTATTGACACTGGAGCAAGTAGAGTTAGGTTCGTGAAACTCGTCCAATTCGCCTCTTCTCTATCCCAAGGTGGAATGTGGCTGAAATAGGGGAGGTCTCTGTACGGGGCGTAATCGGTGGTTTCGTTTGCTTTCCTTCTCTTTTAAAGACCACCTCCCACCTATAGCTTCATAACTAAACGCTTTTCCACACCTATTTTATCCCGAATCTTGTCTTTAACTTACTTCCTATGCAAGAACGTGTAGTCTGGAAGTACTTTTGAGATGCTTTCCAATTTCTCCCTGCCATGGTCCAGTGAAATAGTAATGTACTAGGATATGGACATCCTTCCCTAGGCGCAGGGATGTAAGGGACGCAGGGTGGGACCGCCATATGCTATAAATTGCCTTGCTATAAATTGATATTAATTGATGTGAGCAGGATTTGTGTGATTTGGGGAATACACTGGTCCTTATCAGAAGTGCCTTGAAATAAGTCGTCTACCTTCTATCTTATCCTTCGGGTGAAAGTCCAAAAGAATGCTCTCTAGTATTATGGATGAGATAACAGGGAATGCCCCCCTTCCCGAAACTGAAGTTCCACCGGTTTTCTGTAAACTGCAGCCCAATTGAACTAAAAAGAAAAAGAAAATACAACATTTCGAAAAATGGAGTGATGAGAAATAAAAAAGGGGTCTATTCCAGTTAGGGGGGCATCATGGTGCGGTGACTCCCAAAAAGCTACGGTAACTCTGAGCCAGGGGGAGTGTAGCCAGCCTAGGGGGTGGGGGTGAGGGCAGTCACTTGACATGCGTGAGAAGCTGGAATGTTCGAGTTTACATTAGCTCGCCGAGAAACTGCATCATGATGCCCCCCTAACTGGAATAGACCCGAAAAAACTTGATTGAGTTCAAAGGATAAAAAAAGGCACATGAAGAAAGGTTTTAATGAGACTTTCTGATGAAATGTCTTTTTCAGTTTGCGCTTTCCGATCCGAGATTCGCCCTACGCTTATTCATGGGAGCAAATGTGCCCTATGTCTACCGGCTAGTAGGACCGAACAAGTGGGAAGGCGCTGAAGATGCACTTACGCTCAGTGCCGTACCGAATAAAGAAGCCTCTCAAAGCTCGAGAATGCAGAATGCGAAAGCACAAACGTCGTGGAGTCATGGTGAGTTACCGTAATTCGTTGGAAACCATTACCCCCAACCCTTCGCGCACCTTTATTCGTATTCATTTCTCAGCGATACCAGGTTAAATCAGCTGTTATTCGCAAGCCCTTTCACAGCGATGAAAATTTTGTGATGATCCTAACACGAGCACGGCAATTTTCCTATAACTAGGTTCATTACACTTGAAAATAGTGTAGGTGATGAATAAGCGCTCGGCCAATCATTTTTCGGTGGTGCCCAATACAATAGCATTTAATAGAGGATTTTGATCGAAGGACATTTGTCCTGTACATGTTTAGGGGCCAGTTACAGAAAAAGTCAATATTTCTGCACTCCTAAATGACTGGTACCGCTTTTTCGGTCCAGGGAAGATTAAATGGTTTATTGAAGGGTATTAAAGGACGAATTCACGCTGGGAAGGCAACCCATTTCAAATTAACTCAGGATGGTGATTGGTACACGAAAGAAGGAAGAACCATGAGAAACGGCCCAGAACCCGAGAAATGGGACCCCTTCCTTCCCCGCTGATTTGCGCATTGATGCGACTCTTATCGCTGTGCCCTCCTCAACATCACGCTCTCTCTGCTCTCTGATCAATCGCCACGTATAGATCTGCGGCGAGTGATCAGCTGGTCGGTGGGCGGAGATCGCCAGACCCGCCAACTTTGAGGCATAATAGGTCGCCGAGGTCAAATTTTTCGATGCGAATTGCGCATCAGTTCGCACCCTCAGGAGGTCCGTGGGTTACTCAACTAGGTGAATTACTTCTTCCTCGACCTCCATTCTAATCGTAAAATCCTCCTTTAATACACTTTGGTTTAAACTGTCCCTGAGCCTTCCTGAAAAGAAAAAGGAGCAGGCTCTTAGCAGTCATCTCACACTGCCCCTCCAAAAAGGACGCTCGTCCTCGGGTTTCTATTTCCTGAATTCTGAATACTTTTCCGATTATGATACATAGCTGAATGAGAAAGAGGATTTTGGTTTTCCAATTAAAGAACCATGGACCAGTGGGCGGGACATGGGTAAGTACAGATCCACGTTTTCGGAAGGCTTGAAGTGATCCGCTAGTTTACGTTCGTGGCGTTTGAGACACGTGTGATCCGTACCTACCAAATGCATTTCGTACGACAACCACTTCGGTCTCGCCGCCCAACTGTCCATGGTCCGTGGAAGATTGCCTTTAAAGGAAGCGATTACGATAGATTTCACAGGGGTTTGGAGTGGACGTGAGGGTCTCAGTAATACACCAATGGCGAAAAAAGCAAAGAAATCCGTCAAAAATAAGCAGAATAACACCTCTTTGATTGCCCTTTCATTTTCGACCACCGATGAGCGACGGTGAAGAACGACGTTGTTCAGGACGTGTTAACCCCGATAGCCGCCATCATGCCAACAAGCATAGTGTACTGATTGATAAGGCAATACGTGGGCAAGTTGGAAGATACAGCCGCTAGAAGGGAAATGATCATCCAAAATGAAAAGCCAACAGCAAACAGTCCATCCAGATCATCAACAGAACTAGTGGGCGTCACGTCGCATAGGGCGGGGCGTCGCACGGGTCCTGCTCAGCAACCACAGCACCTTCCGCCGTGGGAGGGCCACACATCTCTTCCTTGGCGGCCAAGTAATTGCTCCGTGTGACGCAGGGTCTTCCCTGATGGGAAAATTCCTTTGCGTAATCGCTTCCTTTAAATAAGAAAAAATCCTATGCATTTCAATGAATATAAAATTCTTCAGGATGAGTACTTCCGTTATGCCAGTATGAAGTGGATTGCCGGTTGGACTGCCGTGATCCTCATGGTCGGTCTATCGCGTTCTGCTCGGAACCGCTGGCATTTCGATGTTTGCTTATTGTGCCTACGTCATCCTCTTTTTTGCCATTTTCTCATTTATGTTGTTGTGGTTTGATCTACAGTATGACATGACTACCATATTATGAAAAAGTCAATGTTTTATATCATATTTTTTTGCTGTGATCAAAACTCGCTCTTTCTCAGAACTTTCATCTGTTGGTGCTCACGTATTTTTCATTAATCTGATCACAAAACACCATTGTAAACTAGTATGTAGATGACATCAGATTTATATATCTGTGATGAAATTTAATTTCAATGCCGAAAAGTTAATTGAATGCGATTATCATAGGTTGCGTTCAACCGTACTCATAAACGAATTCATTAAAAATGCTCAAAAGGCATGCGAAGATTGCACATCCCTTCCGAGCTTATGGAGCGTTCATAGTTGGTGATCGCACGTGCGATTAGTCGATTAGGCGAGTAGGCGATGAGAAAAGGATGACTATTGATTTGTTGCTCCGCCCACTGAGCGGTCGCCTAATCGCCTATCGCATAATGGCCTAATCGCCTGATCTATTATTTTTCATTATGGACCAATGACCCCATCACCTAAGCCTAATCGCACGTACAATCGCCAACTCTGAACACTCCATCACTCGACACATTTCGGCAATCCTTCGACTTTTCTAATTGGTATTTCTATTCAAACCTATGAGCTCTATCACGACATCATTACAAGTAGACCGCTGGTTCCAGTACTCGGGATGGGGACTTATCACTTGCGCAGAGTCTATGAGAGAAAGAGGATTTCGAGCCCGAAAGGCAAAGGTTGGACTCAGGGTTTCCGAATAAGTCCCTCTCGTGGAAGCAGTTTTTAAGGCTGCCGCTCCAATGGTCGCACCACTTTCGCGCCTCTAAATTGTCACTAATCGTAAGACGCTAGGCGTTAAGACTGCACTGCTACGCTACTCTCATTTTTATTTAATGAGATGAGTACTTGATTGTAGCCGTCCACGTTTAGGTAACTTTATAAGGCTAGCGTTTCAGCTTCTTCGCCCTGGTCAGAGCATTTGTCAACGCCACCGTGACAAAGCCATTATGCGACCCTTTCAAAAAAACGTGAGGAGCGTCGGGAGCAGACCTTGCACCGATACGTGACGACGCCCTTACAGACAGTGTAATTTGTTCCTGATGAATGAAATGATTAGCCTGTTGCAGTTGCATTCTAAACAGTTGTCACGATCACAACTATCCCCTCTATATATAAAGCAGCTGTTTGGTGTGTCTGTCTGTCTGTTTGTTTGTTTGTTTGTTTGTTTGTTTGTAACCACTGAACTCACGTTACGTAGACCCAAGAAAACAACTTGGGCATGGTCCCGGATGGGTAGGACTTTGCCCTCTGGTCCCCTCTATATATAAAGCAGCTGTTTGGTGTGTCTGTCTGTCTGTTGTTTGTTTGTTTGTTTGTTTGTTTGTAACCACTGAACTCACGTTACGTAGACCCAAGAAAACAACTTGGGCATGGTCCCGGATGGGTAGGACTTTGCCTCCTGGGGTGTGTACGGTTCGCTAAAAATGGATACGGTAGTGGGCGGAGCCGCCCTTATGGGCGGGGCTGGATGGGGCTCATTCCGAAATCTGTAGAAAAAAACGCTAAAATCTGCGTTTGTAAAATGCGATTAATGTGAGATTAAGTATTACAGTATTGATTGGGGGTGTGGTAAAAGTCGAAATTCTATCGGGTCACATGCTATCGATCGATATCGATTGAAAATATCGGTTTTTGCGCAGAGGGCTCGAATGAGGTTGGGAATCAGTGTTGATTGAGGGCCGTGGTAAAAGTCGAAATTCTATCGGGTCACATGCTATCGATCGATATCGATTGAAAATATCGGTTTTTGCGCAGAGGGCTCGAATGAGGTTGGGAATCACGGTGTTGATTTGGACCGTGGTAAAACCCCTCTATAATATAAAGCAGCTGTTTGGTGTGTCTGTCTGTCTGTTTGTTTGTTTGTTTGTTTGTAACCACTGAACTCACGTTACGTAGACCCAAGAAAACAACTTGGGCATGGTCCCGGATGGGTAGGACTTTGCCTCCTGGGGTGTGTACGGTTCGCTAAAAATGGATACGGTAGTGGGCGGAGCCGCCCTTATGGGCGGGGCTGGATGGGGCTCATTCCGAAATCTGTAGAAAAAAACGCTAAAATCTGCGTTTGTAAAATGCGATTAATGTGAGATTAAGTATTAAAGTATTGATTGGGGGTGTGGTAAAAGTCGAAATTCTATCGGGTCACATGCTATCGATCGATATCGATTGAAAATATCGGTTTTTGCGCAGAGGGCTCGAATGAGGTTGGGAATCACAGTGTTGATTTGGGGCCGTGGTAAAAGTCGAAATTCTATCGGGTCACATGCTATCGATTCGATATAACCTTCTATAATTAAAGCAGAAGTTCTCTCTATAAGTTCTCTCTATTGGCGCACTCACATGAGTGTATAAATAAATAAATAAATAAATAAATAAATAAAAGCAGAAGTTTGGTGTGCCTGTCCGTCTGTCTGTTTGTAACCACTTGGCTTGCACGCTAGGTAGACCCCATGAAACAGTTAAAGCATCGTCCCGGATGGGTACGAAGTTGCCCCTAGGGCGTGTAAGGTGAAGGCAGGGCTTGGTTAGAAAGGGTACGGTAGTGGGCGGAGCCCGGTCAGGTGGGCGGGGCATGCATTGAAATATCCGCAGAGAATATAGCTTTTGTGCAGAAGCCTCGAATTGCTAAGCGAACCGCAACATTGATTGGGCAGTGTCGTAGAAGTTGGATTCTTAATGGGTCACATGCTATCGATCGATATCAATTGAAAATATCGGTTTTTGCGCAGAGTGCCAAAATAGGGTTGGGAACCACACTATTGATGGGGGGCTGCAGTAGTAGCGAAAATCCCAATGGGTCACATGCTATCGATCGATATCGATTGAAAATATCGGTTTTTGCGCAGAGGGCTCGAATGAGGTCGGGAATCACAGTGTTGATTGGGGGCCGTGGTAAAAGTCGAAATTCTATCGGGTCACATGCTATCGATCGATATCGATTGAAAATATCGGTTTTTGCGCAGAGGGCTCGAATGAGGTTGGGAATCACAGTGTTGATTTGGCCGTGGTAAAAGTCGAAATTCTATCGGGTCACATGCTATCGATCGATATCGATTGAAAATATCGGTTTTTGCGCAGAGGGCTCGAATGAGGTTGGGAATCACAGTGTTGATTGGGGCCGTGGTAAAAGTCGAAATTCTATCGGGTCACATGCTATCGATCGATATCGATTGAAAATATCGGTTTTTGCGCAGAGGGCTCGAATGAGGTTGGGAATCAGTGTTGATTGAGGGCCGTGGTAAAAGTCGAAATTCTATCGGGTCACATGCTATCGATCGATATCGATTGAAAATATCGGTTTTTGCGCAGAGGGCTCGAATGAGGTTGGGAAATCACAGTGTTGATTGGGGCCGTGGTAAAAGTCGAAATTCTATCGGGTCACATGCTATCGATCGATATCGATTGAAAATATCGGTTTTTGCGCAGAGGGCTCGAATGAGGTTGGGAATCAGTGTTGATTGAGGGCCGTGGTAAAAGTCGAAATTCTATCGGGTCACATGCTATCGATCGATATCGATTGAAAATATCGGTTTTTGCGCAGAGGGCTCGAATGAGGTTGGGAATCACAGTGTTGATTGGGGCCGTGGTAAAAGTCGAAATTCTATCGGGTCACATGCTATCGATCGATATCGATTGAAAATATCGGTTTTTGCGCAGAGGGCTCGAATGAGGTTGGGAATCACAGTGTTGATTGGGGCCGTGGTAAAAGTCGAAATTCTATCGGGTCACATGCTATCGATCGATATCGATTGAAAATATCGGTTTTGTCAGGGAGGCTCAGATTTGGTTACTCATCACTTTATAGATTGATGTGGTCGCAATAATTAAAATTTTACTACGGCTTAATAAGCTTACTCATGCCAGAGTTCTTCTTATTGAGAAACACTCCTTTAGAGCACGCTCTACGCTTAGCCCTCTATATCCCCTCTATCCTCTTATACATAAAGCAGCAGTTTGGTGTGTTTGTCTTGTTTGTAACCGCTAGGGCTCGCACT